ACCTCTCTATAGGGCCAAAAATTTCGAACAACAGAACTCAGAACTCAATTTTCTGTCTGTTTTAGCCCATCAGGGACACTTCGTTGGTTTTGAAAGCTATTATTATTCTGCGAAAACTGAGCACCTCTAAAATCGAGTTGACGCCAAAAATTTGGAAGAGAGATAAATTGAAACAAATTTTTACGGAATCATAACAGGGTATTGTGGCTTTCGGTTTGGGCATGCACAAAGCAAATGTAATATGTTTGCGTGTATCATATATCCAACACACTGTGTGGAAGCTCTGAGGATAGCAGCCGGTTGGGCTAAAAAGGAGAATGCGATGTGTTAGTTTGATGTATCGTTAAGACGGAAGCTCTCACTAGCTGTCTACATAGGGTTATCAGTTAATAACCCGAGCCCCAGGACACTGCAGTTGAGGGTGACAACAACAGCGTGCGGGGGTACGACATATTAACATACAAGGGTTTTGGTTACTGGGAGGTTTTCTCGGTCTCCTCTGGCTGGCATTCAGGGGTGTTTTCATGTTCTAACTGGATTACCGCGGCCAATTCTAAGGGTAGAAAAAAAGAGGTTGTAATCAACGATGGCGCGTAGTTTGACGCCTGTCGGCACACAACGGTGGGGCGCTCAGTATTCGTACAATGGAATTGAATTTTCGAAAGTTCTGACGTGCCCCTGATTGACTAAAGCAATCGTTCAATTGAGTTCAGAGTACCAGTTTAAACTTTTAAGCCTTATTTAAGCATCTTGGGGTCTCAGCGTCACTGAGAAATTATTCCACCAGAGTTTTCCGCCGGAGGGATGACTGCATCAGGGGGCAAAGCAGTTTGGTATGCTGCAAAAATACGGATGTAGATTGATATGGTCTCTGGTATGATCACATACGCAACAAAACCCAACATTTCAATGCCAAAGGTTCCTCTCTACTTATGGGGGTTTTGCAGCTAAGAGCATTGTGCGGCTAATAGATGCCCACTGGTACATGTTGTGGTATAAGGTGTCTGTCGGTTTGATTGACGTATATATATATTGTGATGTGCAACCTTGCTTACTGGGCTTCGGCTCATGAGCTTTGTTTCCATCAACAGAGATTGTCGTGAACACCTGCGTTCGGAGAGCCGCTATCTGGTGCTTCCATAGCGCACACACTGCAGCAAAATGGAACACTTACGTATCATCAGTTTGTTCCGAGAAGCAAGCATCCGCCCTAGATAAGGACCCTTTCAAACCAACCGATGTCAGTAAAGGTGGCAGCGAAACATGCAGCTAGAGCGGATGAAACTTTTTAAAACCTTTGATCATAGAAAACATTGCAACCACTGGTCGGCATGGCTAACCGACTGCAGACCGGGGCGCATGTCCTGAGAGGTCAAAATGTCAGCCAATCAGACTTGAGCCTCTTTGGCTAGCCGATTCTAGGCCCGTGAAGGTTGTTCACTGGAATCTGATGGAGTGTACAGTGCCTGCCATTTTGGTTGATTTATTTGTAAGCATTCGCGATGTACAACCCTCCTAACTGGGCTACGGTCCATGGGTCTTCAGCTGTACATCTACAGAAATTGTCGTAAATGCCTACCTTCCATAGCGCGCATACTACACTGCTGGTCAATTCTGTGCTTTCTCTGAAAATTCAGCTATATCAGTTTCCCTTTATCCTACAAAAGTCTATTTTCGGCTACTTTATCCATGCGCCTGTGATCGTAACACGTGCTCAGGAACTCTAGGACTTCTGAAGACCTATTTCCCATTAAGAACATGAATCCCGTTGCCAGTCCCATATCGGATGAGTTCGAAAGTATACTGCGTTAGGCAGAGGCCGGCCCCAAAAATTCCATATCAGCACACCACCCTAGCCTCCTCATGATAATGATAACTAAGCTCTAAACCTCCGTGCTTAACTGGTCGGTCTTAATATGACTCAAACTATAACGTTTGTGGTGCCAGAAACCCGACTCATTTCCACTGTAAGTCACAGTGAACTTCCGTTACCTATATATTTCCAGACAAGTAAGGAGGTGGAATCCTTCCGCGCTGCTGTTCTAGAACTGAACCCGTTCCACCAGTCTTTTGACAATCCAGAGGGAAAGATGAGCGGTGTGGGGCGAAGCCAAAAGTGGACGTGTCGGTTGCTGCAGTCATGTATGCCATTCCAAGTTCATCGGGTCACACAACGCTTAAAAAACTTCCTAGGAATTACTATTTTATTATGAGGCTTCAAGTTCGCCTAAAACCTACTATATCTGCGTCCCAGTGTCAAAGAGTAACTTCATATTCATGGTTTTCGAGATTCTGATTGACCTTAATCTACTATGCGTTGAATCTCCTAGGAGCGTAGTTCTTGTTCAGGGTTGTATCACCATTAGTCTTGCGTTGAGCCATCGGCTTTGGATTGGCAGGATAGCATTTACAATGAGTTGTTCGTGCGCAACATTTACCTTGTCCTGCGACCGAACTAGAGGGCATTGGGAGATTCGAAACCCTCCGTTCTTCTCAGGAATCTTTGGAAGTGTGACGGAAACGGGATGGAAATTGCTGTGATGGTACTGGGTTGGGATGTGCTGGTTTCATTCGATTATGCGACGTGTAGTTACATGTGGTGCAAGATTCAACATCTATATAGTCAACACCAGCCTCTCAAAGGCCCATCGTGGATTGCGTTTCATTAAAAGAAACAGACGCGGGATAAATTCAAAATCAGTCAGAACACTTCTGATGGTTGCGATGCTTGCCGCAACCAATGCACGCGAACGGATAACTTATGGATCCAAGTCACTTGAGACATCGGTCAGTACCGCAACTAGTCTCTTTCTTTGCTCCAGGGAAAGGAGCTAGAAGTGTATCCATTCACTGCATTGCTTTTCTACGGGTCAGCGGACCCTATGAATTACATCCCAGAAACCTGGTATTAGCAGCAGCAATGGTTAATTGATCATGTTAGCTCTTCAGACGCCCATTGTACAAGGCTGCTGTGGAGATCATTCTCCTACATAACTGCTGGCCACTGCTAGAGCAAGTGTGACACGGTGGAATGAGGCAGGTCGTAGTTTACATACCCTTGGAGGCTACTTTCTCGCATACACACATGGAAGATACACATGGAAGATACTATGATGATTGGAAAGTTTCTTCTAGTGGCTGGTGGGTCATTCACATGTAGGCATTGGCTGAAGCTGTAAACTTATGGAAGACTACATCTGCACTAACTGTACTGACCGACTAATCGACTGACTAAATATCTACTAAGCCCCGTCGTTTTTTCCTGCTCCATAATGAACAAGAATCACCCATATCCAGTGCCTTTGCCCCCCGTCACCCTGTCAGTGACTCAACGGACCAAATACTCCATCTATCTCAGTCGCCTCATGGACCGAGCTATATCCTCCTTGTATAGTAATGGTATTTTCCTCAGCTTTGTTCTCGGTCTGAGCCTCCCAAGCTAGAGTTCACGTCAAAACAACCACCAAAGGTGCACAAGGTCTATTAACGCCCAAAACGAAATCAGGAACAGTTGTATAGCGCTTCGTATATATAGCGTAAGCGGCTATAACTTTCTGGAATTTCTGACGCGTTCTGTAACGCCATTGGCAACCGGCATTTGGCCAATACTGGGTCATCATTGGCTGTTGGGTCCGGATTGTTGACCAATCAGATCTCGCCTTGATGCCGGACCGGCAAGCGTCCCGAATTTCTGGGCCACCTCGAGCGGGCCAGGCTTCTCGGCCGTAGCAGCGCCCGAAGACGTGCCGTTTAGTGGGATCCATGTGGATTCCTGCCTAACACCTTGATAGTGCATTAGTTGGACTCGTCATTTCACCGGAATGGAGAAAGAAAACAACTTCGAGGAAGTTATACTGCAAACAAATGGATCGTTCCGCGGTATGGAATTCAACGGAACCGGAAAATAAAAGAGTTAACAGTCCAATAGGATGCCATTGAGGGGCTGAAATGTAGAAACAAGATTCCAGTGCACAAGACAAATCGTCAGTAAAGCAGATTTCTTCGTTTGGAGGCAGTCCAGCTAACATACCGCAGCCACGATCCGTAGGCTGGACACTTCAGTACACAATGTCGGTTTGATGACGAAACTTAGTGCTGATTATCGTAACTTCCAAGCGATAGAACGAAGTCAAAATTAGCTCCAGAACACATGACTTATGCAATTTTTTTCCGCTTCTCTTTGCCACTACCGACACGGTTCAAGTGCCGACAGTAACATGTTGATTTATATGCGTTCGATCCCAACAACAGTGATGTTAGTCTCGTGTGATGACATCTGATTATAGCTATCTGCTTGCATCCGCTATATCGGTAGCCAAAAACGTGCTGCGTAGAACCACTGTACAACATACGCATGTATGCGAAGATTTTAAAAGTAGAACTTTGAGTGCAACTTGTTTTGGTGACTTCTTTTGTCTCTGTTTCTTGGGCCAAAATCCTCAGAGAAGGCTGTGCGGTTTCCGGGTCGAACTTACTTGTGAAGAGTTCTTAACTGCTCTCATGACTGGAACCTGAATCTACATCTCAGTGTGTAATTGAAGGAGGGGTGGTTACATTTTCACTTATTATGTATTAGGTGTTGTCCTCTGGTTTCTTTCAGGAAAGTTGTATGCCACATTTGTGTTCGTGCATGCAAGTTTAAGCAAAACCATCCTCATCTCACTTTAAATGTTTGTTTTCTGTCGGCACGCCGGTAAACATTTCTAGCTCTGATCTATACACCGTTCTTCCTGCACATTAAGTTCGCAGGCGAAATTAATGACTTTCTCACAACTGAAGTCAGCGTTATTTCATCATTACTTTACTGCTTAGTTTCAGCATATTTTGCTTGCCGTCGTCTTTCACTGAGTTTCTTTTACGGAGAGAAGAATAATGCACTTCCTTGGGCGGTGTCTTTCGAAGTTATACCACAAAGCGACAGTTTTCAATACTTTCCGATGTGTATCTTCACGACCAGAGGTAATCAAACTATTCTTGTGTGTTATGCATTCTCGTAGAACTTTACAGAGCTCGCGCAGATACGTAATATTGGCATTTCCGCACATATAGACAGTGGGAAGACCACGATCTCCGAGCGTATTCTGTTCTACACGAACAGGATAGATGAAATGCACGAGGTTAGTTTTTGGGTCTTGTTCACTTTTGGTGGATATATATGTAGACGATTGCATTCAATCTCCACATAGTAAAGAGATTAGATGGAGCCTCTTAACCAGGAAACTTTGATGCTTGTCCTCTCAATTGTTGTGTTGTAGACTGGTAATCGGATTATCCCCGTTCCCTTGGATTCTCATATTCTTTATCGTAGTTGAGCATTAGAAGACTGCTTCAACAGTGGCACCCTTTTACGCATATCTGAGGAAGTCCGGCCGGTCACGTTAGACTGCCTGATTAACCTCTGTTTAAACAATCTAGTGATTGTGTCACCGGTAGCCTTATTTCGCACCTTAATGACCAACCCATTCGATCGACACGATGACCTTTTGATGCATCGGTGCCTTAATCTGAAAGAGATAGGCTTTTGGGAAATCGAGCTGGCTCAGTTAATCAGGCCTGTAATTGAGCTACCATCTACTGCGGAAGTGACTTCCTGGTGTAGATGGTGCACCTGAGTGGAACCAGGCAACTCCAAATCGATGGTTTCATGTTTTTCAGTGAGTTCTGTCAAAGCTTGAACAGACGACACGTATCTCACCCTTAGTGATTACGTAAGCTTACTCAACAACTGTGCCATGAGATGATGTCACCTGGCCTTTAGAGTTAGGTAGAACAAAAATAAGTAACCAATACCCTGACTGGGTTGGTGAATAATTCTTGGTCCGTTTCGGACCGTTCGAAGATAGGGTGGTGGAAGTGGGCAATAGATACAGTCCCAGGAAGTTAGACAGTCACACCTGAATATGGATGCCGTTCTTCATTTACCGCCGTGTCTCCCCGTCAGTAACATAAATCATACTTTAAATGGGTGTGTAAAACGGTTCGAGTACTAGTCATACGAGACCCTGGGTATCACAACAATATATGGTTAATCAAACTGAGTGCTACAAAGGAAAGCCTTGGGGTCAGCGTTAGATGTTCACTATTACGAGTGAGGCTTGAAGCCGAGCCACTTTGGCCGCGTGATGCGCTTAGGATCTTCGTAACTTGGTCCTTCTCGAGAGTGAGCATCATGGAAGCGAGGCAAAAACATTCGTCTTCGGGTGAGAAAGTGTGGCTGTTCTCTGGCTGAGGAATCCCGATCGTCTTGCCAAGAGAGGGACTGTTAACTATCTGTAGTCTTTCCCGCCCATCAGCTGGTCCTGTGTTCCCGCGAATGCTTTTAACAGTAGAATTGTAGATGGAGGTCACCGTGTGATGATTTGTTTTTTAAGCCCACTTAAATACGAATGTGATGACGTTATAGCTAGAAATATATTTGCACTGTACTCTCAGTCTTGCTCTGCTTTGTGATCCGGGTAGATGCCGGTCGGCTGAATGAATTGTGTGGTTATCTTTTGAGGCTTCTTTGAATAGACCTAAGGTTCATCTCATGGAAGGAATAAAACCTCGCCATGAACTCTAGAGTGAGGCAACTTCAATACTTCGTAAGTTTTTCGAAGTCGGAGTCCAAGGCTGCCCGGGTTCTCAGCTCATGGTCGTTCGTAGGGATCAAATTTTCAAATTAGTTTCCTTAGTGATGTTCCTGTTGTCATCGAACGGTAGTGGATAAAGTTATACCGTACGCCTGTTTATGGTTTGAAATAAGTTTAACCAACTGACTCATACAAACTACCAATGGTCTGTCAATTTGACGAGTCATGGTGCAGTCACCAAAAAGTGACTAGATTATCGCCTCCCATTCCAATATCTGTATCCAGTCCCTCATATTTATTCCCTATATCCGGCTGTTGTCACTCCTACACATCATTTTGAAACATTTCAATTCGAACCCGAAGGTTCGTGGAAAAGATGGTGTTGGTGCGGTAATGGATTCAATGGAGCTAGAACGTCAGCGTGGGATCACCATCCAGTCTGCATCCACTTTTACCACTTGGCGTGGACACACAATCAACCTGATCGACACACCCGGGCACGTGGACTTTACGGTTGAAGTGGAGCGTGCGCTGCGTGTGCTTGATGGGGCTGTGCTTGTCTTGTGCGCAGTTGGCGGTGTACAAAGTCAAACACTAACAGTCAGTCGCCAGATGAACCGCTACGAGATTCCGCGAATAGCTTTTGTGAACAAGTTGGACAGACTAGGCGCGAATCCACAACGCGTTTTGGAGCAAATGCGGTAAGTGTTATTTCACATTGCCATTCCTGTCTCAAAAAGGGCCTATTGCAGAGATTCCTTTTATTCTTCCAAAGTTTGTGGGTTGAAATAGACGGTAATCTGTAGAGAAAGACTTCCAGACACAGCAGCCAGAAGTATTTTCCCTCAAGACGGAGTAGTTGGTTCATCACAAATACCTGTCAGTAAGTGGACTCGAAAAATTACCTAACTGACTTTTCCTTAAACTTCGATTCTTCACAGTTCAGCTACATGAGACCTCTCCTCAGTGTTTCCCAGCAAGAGTGAAGTGGCTGGTAGCGCTTCTTGGTTTTTGTCGTTGCCTTCTAGGATGGATTGATGCTCAGTTTGGGTGTTGGAACATACGTGGCTACTTGATTCATAAAAATATAGATGGCTCTGACGGTGTTACGCCAGCCACCGCTGTCTTGCGGTTAGGATTTCAGGTCAAGGCCTTTAGTTGAGTACCCTGATCGTACCTCAGGCAGTAGCTCACCCCCAACGAATTGCACATTTGACGTGGTTGTGTGGGAGTGAAGCACCAGTGTCCTTACCCGGTGTTGCTTTCACTGATGATGCCAATGATGATTTACGGTGGATTCGGCAGTCATAACTACTTGTAGTCCTTCCTTCTGTGTTATCGGACAGTATTTGTCGTAGTACACAACCCAACATACCAACGAAACAATGTCTGTTGCTATTTTTTTGGGCCTCTGTACCTGACTGTCTATTAACTGCCGCCGTGTATTGATCAGGCAACCAATTGGTATGATGCTATCGCTACTACAGGTACATTCTGTGATGAAGGCACAATGTTTTCTCAAACAGCCAGTTGTAGTTTTTGTCTCTTTCGCAGATATTAAGAGGCTTTTTGTTCTTTTTTTACCAGTTCCAAACTCCAGTTCAACGCTGCCTTCGTCAACATACCTATCAGTACAGATCCAAAAAGCACGGGAATCGTCGATCTGATTGAACAAAAAGTGCTCTATTTTGACGAGCCATTCGGGTGAGTTTCCTCAGGGGTTTTGTAAGGAACAGGTGAGAGACAGCTGGACCCGTTGTTTGGAATTCGGGACTCCTGCTTCTTCATAACCGAGTTTTTTTGGGACCCACAGTGGCTGAATCGCCTACACCGATACACGGTCCTGTTTGTTCAACTAAGGAGGCTTACGAAATTTGTGAATGACAAGCATTCTCTCGCCTATCTCCCATGTACTCACTCCCTAAAAGAGACTGCCTACCCACTGAGTAGAAGCATTCACATTTTGACAATGGCTACATGCGCTAAGTTTTCCCTTGAACAAGACTTCTCATTCTACGAGGGGTTCGATTGCCACTGATATTCCACTCACAGCCTACTCACCGCGATTTTTCTTGTTTCATCCCTATGAAGGCGTCTTTTAATGAGAGGGATTGCGTTATTATAATTCAAGGAACGATCTGTTTGTCAGCCCTTCTGGTAGGTATGGGATTTAGATGCCTGCATGTGAGCTGGAAGTTCGTATTCCCTTGAAGTGAATAAACTTTGGAATGCTAGTGGAGGTATTCTGGAATCTTTGGCAGTATTTTTGGGCCATTATAGTGCATGTACTCAGTTGCTGCAGCAGTGTATGTTGCGAGAGTGCTGAATTTTTTGATCGAAGTATGATGAGTTGACCCTTAGCTGGACGGACTTTACCTTCCGGGATACGTCGATCCAAGGCCAAGTGTTCGCCCATTTCTAGCCGGTAAGAAAATTCCTAATTGAGGTTTCCGTACGCTCCGAAGATTGAGGTATCACTATCGCTCATTGTTGTTTAGCCAACCTTTTCAAGGTGATGCACACGAACCGGTTTAAAAAACAAATATGTTACGATAGGTTTTTGGTGAACAGACTACAATGAAAACTGAGGACGGCGTGACATTATCAGGAAGGTCAGCTTCCTAAAAGCAACCACTGAATGCCCGAAGTCTACCGAGACTCTCAGCTCCGCTAGATGTTGACCAGACAGTCAAGACCCCCTCAACATGCAGCGCGTCACAGCCTTGTATCAAACCCAGACAGCGCGAGTCAGCGTCGGTCAAGGTCAGACAACGCTCCCGCAATATGCAGCACGTCGCGGCCTCCCACTAAAGCCAGAAGTGTACCTCAGTATTGGACTAATTTCAGTGTCCTTCCAATAAATAGCTTGAGACCGTTGTACTTTTCGCACTCGCACGCACTCACGCTCTCGCACTCGCTTGTTCGGAATATAGCGGTTGTGTTCCCTTTTGTGAGCCTTTTCTCTCGGCAACCAGGCACTGGAGCGAGTCAGCAGCAGATACATCAGATTGGCGAAGCAGCAGATGTATAATCATCATCATTCAGCTGTAGCACCCTTCCGGTGCCAAGCTGCCATGCCACACGAAGGAGGCACGAGGGCTGGGATACTGCCAGACCGCCCAAGCCTAGATAGGGTAAGTCGAGAGGCAGAGGTCGGGTTCGAACTGCGGACCTTCCGGTCAGTAAATTCGTGCTCTAACCACTTGGCCCATCTCGCCCCCGCAGCAGATATAACGGCCATGAATTCCAGCTTTTGTCTTACTCCATTATAACTTTAAAAATTTACAATTTCCGTGATACAAGACAGGTTCTTGAATGGTGAGACGACGAATAGGTGAATGCTAGCAGACACCGTGCACGGACTCACAGTTGTAATAGAGAGTGCGTCATCATATCGGCTAAAACGAGGCATGCACACACCTTCATTCGTTGTCTATGTCAAGGTTTCGGGAGGTTCTTGGGCGGGCGTTCACCATCCCTGTAATTCATTCTGTATCGTAACCCCCTGTTCACATCTAGCCTTACCAGTCAAGTTTCGGATGCGATTGTTTGCCTATTCCTTCCTAGAGCAGAGCATCTCCGAAACTTTTTTTACTGTTTTCTCATAAGCTGTTACCTTCACCTCATCATGGGCTGAGTTAATGGGAATCTCCACAATTCATTACGATGATTGTGCTTCCAAGTATTTTCTGTGTGTTGTATCATCTCTACAAAGAACTTCTGACCCTGGGCTCTTCTTTCACCATGGTTCACTTTTTGTGTGTTCAAAAATGCCATCTTTTCTGTGAGGCACGACAAAATGAGGTCAACCAGATGAAGCGCGGCCACTCAAATTTACTTCCTTACCCAATAGGGCATTACACCAGCGTTCGAGGAAAACTGACGATGTGGTCATAGAGTTGAGCGCAAACTCATACTACTTCAACAACCAGACTGTCCCGTGCATCGTCCACGAAGTGAACCAAAATTTTTGAATAAGGGGATATACTAGCGCCTCAGAACGGTAGGGTAAGAAACTCGCGAAAGAAGCCGAAAATTCCTTTAATGGACAATCTGATCTGACTTAGATGCCCCTTCATCTACTGGTTTCCCATTTCTGACTACATCTGTGCTTGTGCTTGCCTGACTTTCGCCTCATGCAAACGGTTCAACCGGAATACAGAAAGTTCCTCAGACATATGACAGCAGAAAAAACTAGGTTCTCGTAAGTCATCTTCGGGACTCCATTTCTAGGTGGAACATGTTCGATCCTGAGAGAAGAGCTGTAATTGTGTACTTTTAGTAGTCCGGTTCTTATACACCTTGCTGCCTTTCTGGTTTGCATAATTTTAGGTGCAACCTTGAAGACAAAAGTACCTTGTGCACCTGTGGTAGATCATCATTATGATACGTGTTCTCTTGGGCAGTTTCCGTTCACTAGGCAATAATCAGTGTTTTGTGCAGTCGTCACTTCACGCATCCCTCATTCTTTTCAGTCTGAACGTACGCGAAGACGCTATCCCATCGGAGATGCTGAGTGAAGTTGCTGACCGACGAGCGGAGTTTATAGGTTAGTCGATTCAGTCAAGATTTTGTATTTGCGATTAAAGCACTAAGTCAGCAACTGAATTTTCTTCCAGCGTTTTGTTTTTCTGTCCATCACTTCGTTCCAATCTGCTTACAGAATGCTTAGCAAACGTTGATGATCAAGTAGCGGAGTCCTTCTTGAATGAGAAACCTCTGAGTGAACAACAACTGAAAGCTGGTGTCCGACGTGCAGTGATCTCAAGAAAATTTGTTCCAGTCCTCGTAGGGTCCGCATTGCGCAATCGAGGCGTCCAACCCGTTTTGGATGCCATTGTGGACTACTTACCTAATCCAAGTGAAGTGCAGTATTATGCGCTTGATGAAAGTGGCGAGTGAGTCCTGGAGATTTTCAACTGTTTAATGAACACCCACCGTTTTCGAGTGCTATTTTGGACTACTTATAAGTAGTTTGAAATTAAGGCCCCGGACGATGAGGTCTGCAAGCGACTGCACAGGTAGTGCAAGGATACAATGATTCGAGAAATACACTCATTTGCAAATCAATTTGGTTTTGACGGGAGACTCAAGAACCTTGTGAGTAGTTTCCTTTATGAAACTATACTGCGATATCTCGAATATCGTGCCAACTGAATCATGAGGTGGCCTGTGTGCAGCACATTCAGCTGGAGGACATCATAAACGAGAGATTCAATTGAGTCTCCCGTGAAAACCAAATTGATTTGCAAATGAGTGTATTTCTCGAAAACAGTTCAATTTGGGTTCAAGTAAATCATGATGTTGACGGAAGCTCGGGGACTGCGCCTACCTGATGAGCCCCAAGAAGGGCGAAACCGGTCGTGGGCTGTCGAAGAGTTTTCAGCAACCTTGTGAGTAGTTTCCTTTGTGAAGATACAGTGATTCGGTTTTCTCTCCCATTCCAGTAATTTCCCGTTCCTAGTATCATACATTAACAAAAATACTCAGTTATGATGTTAGGTGGATACTTAGAGTGTATGCTTAGATGCGTAGTAGTTTTTGCATCGGGCACTCTTCAAGTAAGGCAGTAAATTTTTTTCATCGGTTTTTTACTTGATAAGTTATCTGTATTCAACTTCGTTAGAAGTGCTTATTCCTAATAACTTAATTATATTGCAAGAAGTATTCTTACTTCACGCACTGATCAGCTAACTGCATACGGCAATGCATCAATCTTGATGATCTTTGCGTGTTCCGTGATCAAAATCGAACAACTGATTCTATGATACTATGTCTTCTAAAAAGTTTGGTGGTTCAAGCGGACACCAGTTAGCGCTGAACCTGTGAAGCAAGCCTCCGGGACTGTAGTTTGGAGAACTTACCTTAAAAACACCAAATGGCCTGGTCGATTCGCTTTAAATAGAGATGATTACGTTTCCGATTGTTCTTTAATTGGGCACCGTGTGCTGTTTTAGCACTTATCCGCAACCCACAATCCGCTCACTTTCCACACTTTCCTCTTTACTCAGAACGTCCGTCAAAGTTCCACTCAACGCTGAACGATCTGACCAGCAACCTTTCTTGGGACTCGCCTTCAAACTGGAAGTGAGTCGTTTTTGGGTGATAATTATTTGTCCAAAGGATAACATTTTTTAAATGTTATGCGGCGGATGAGTTACTTGAATACCACAAAAAGACAATAGAATTATTAATTGAGGGTATATGTTTGCACATACAAGACTTGTAGTCTCTTTCAATGGATATACTCCCATAAGGGCTTCTCCATCACACTTACATGATGCTTGGATGTGAACAGTCATCTTTTAGGCAGCTACTTCTACACTGTAATCAAACGCTCTATCATCATCATCATCATCATCATCATCATCATCATCATCATCATCATCATCATCATCATCATCATCATCATCATCATCATCATTTGTAATAACCGCGTACTTGTCGTTCAGTGGTTATAGCTACTACAGTTTCGTTCACTGATGATTCGGGGGAGGTGTATAGGTAGCTGCGCATTGGAGGCGGGAGCTTATAAGTAATTGCGTAAATACAGCACTGTAGATGGGCTGTTAAATGGCGGGACTGGGTCATATCCGACAATGTCTCATACCGTTGATGTGGCCCGTTTCGGGGTCCCCATCCAGGAAGACGGCAATGACCTGCGCAGCTGAGTTAGCTGGTAATGGCTTTTATACTTTGCTGTCAAATCATGGTTTGCCCGCCTCTGGCTTTCTTACACCGTTCACGTGGTTGTGCGAAAACAGCCCTTCGAGGAAGTCAGTCGACTGGCATACACAGCATGTGGCGAAGCCAGCGTAACCTATGCAGTGTAATCAGTTCATCTATCATCCTCACCATCAGCATCATCATCATCTAAATCATCATCCTAATCATCATCATCATCATCATCGTCATCATCATCATCATCATCATCATTGTCAGCCGTAATAACTGCGTACTTGTACAGTGGTTGTAGCTGCTGCAGTTTCGTTCACTGATGATTCGGGGAGGTGTAGTAGGTAGCTGCGCATTGGAGGCGGGAGCTTATAAGTAATTGCGTAAATACAGCACTGTAGATGGGCTGTTAAATGGCGGGACTGGGTCATATCCGACAATGTCTCATACCGTTGATGTGGCCCGTTTCGGGGTCCCCATCCAGGAAGACGGCAATGACCTGCGCAGCTGAGTTAGCTGGTAATGGCTTTTATACTTTGCTGTCAAATCATGGTTTGCCCGCCTCTGGCTTTCTTACACCGTTCACGTGGTTGTGCGAAAACAGCCCTTCGAGGAAGTCAGTCGACTGGCATACACAGCATGTGGCGAAGCCAGCGTAACCTATGCAGTGTAATCAGTTCATCTATCGATCAAACGCTCCGTAGATATACTGAAAGCTACTCTCCCAGAAAAAATATGGAATACAACATCCGTGCGCCCGCGGAATAAACTTAGAGGACCAATTCCGTCTTTTACCACGACCCCGCTATTGGTAGATTGGACGCAGAAGTACTCACCAGCAAATAATGTGTATCGTCAGAAAAGGATGAGCAGAAGTAGAAATAGCAAGAAGCAAAAAGGCCGCGAACGAAATAGGGAGCCATATAATAAGAATCATATAATATAATTATAACATAACAATAATAATATAACATAATATATAATATAATATAATATAATATA